AAGAGGAGAGTTTTGGAGATTACATTAATTTTGGAGTTTCAGGTTCTCCCCCAAGTCCTTCTGAGTACGCGCCATCATGTTTTGTTTAGCTTTCATGCAATATATCAATTTTGGTTGATAGATTTTGGTTGAAAAAATCATCCGATATTTTTGGATGATATAATCTGGCAATTTGAAATTACATGTTTCACGTTCTCTAAGACATTTCTATGTTCAAACAGTGAATTAAGTATTAACATTTAGATTCAAATATTGAATTCTTTTTCGGTTGACATACTTTCGAAAGAAATGGATTTGAAATTGTCAACATGCGAGTATTAAAAGCTAAAAAAAATTTGGTTCCACTTACCCGGATCATGATAGTTGCTATTGATTGGTAGTGTCATTGGCATATTGACGCATGCTCAGTCTCCTCATCTACAAAGATTCAGGTTGATTGTTTAAGTGCAAAAACAGATGAAACCATCCATCTTAAATAGATTTTGATCAATTCTCACCGAAACCGCACATTTAATATAGTCGTTTCTGTCCAAGCGCAATCAACTCTTGACATTTTACCCACATTATGAAACAATCGCCATTAACTCTCTAATACTTTTAAAGGACTCTCGTCATTAGAAAACAAAGCTATGTAGACAAGAGATAAAAGATTTCCAATGTTTTAATTATTCGTCTAAAGCGTTCCTCCGGCTTAATGTAAAACACATTACGTCTGTAGGGACCACCCGATTGTTGGTGGTTCCTCTCCTGACAGCAGATCTTTCCTCCCTTTGTTTCTCCAGGGGACATAACCAATGATGGACTCGTTAAAATGCATTACAGAAAGCATTTGTCAAATCATTGCTATCATTCATAAAACATTGAGTGAGTGATGAAGGGAGTCAGGGATACTTTATTGATCGTAAAATCGTAACCACTTAAAAGCGAATTTAACGTTTTAAAGTAGAAGGATGGTATTACAAAAGAGCAATAGTCACATTTATCATTCCATTTCCTTTAGTGTACTTGGTCAGGTTTTTAGGGGATCGACTTATGAACAAGAACAATTTGAAAAATATCTAAATTTGCCAAGTTTTTTATCTTTTCAGTTATAATCTTTTTAATGATTTGTTCCGAAAAGTTGATATTCATTAAACTATATTAATATATCCCCAAAGGACGTATTTTTATCTTTAAAATACTAGTACGCTAAAACAGATATTTTTCATTGAGAATTGTTATCATCTTTCGTAAATCTAAATTACTACTGTAAAGATTGAGATTAAGTAGCATATATTTTCAAATAGTTTTGGTTACAATTAAGATTTTGTTTAGTTTACAGATGAGATAAAATAAGACTGGAAGATGAAATACAATGGTTTGTAAAGGGGTGCAGAAAGAGACAAGAGCCTGAAAACTTAAGACTTTGAATGCAGTAAGTATCAAGAAGACATAAACATACTAAGGGATGTCCAGAAACCGAAAAGATACGATAAACAATGAAATGTAAACAGACAGCTACAGACTGTATATAGAACTGCTGTTGAAATGTCATGTAAGCAATACAAAACAAGATGAAAACAAAGATACCTGAAACTTTTAATCACAAAAAATATGCAACAAAATTTTCCAAACTCTTGATATCAAACAAAAAAATATATATATAAATTCAGAACTCCATTAAAATATATGGACTGTTAAGTTTAGAACAAGTGTATCTGAAACTATAAAGCAATGGTATGCAAAGACACGAAACAGGCAAAAAAGGTTTCTGAATCTCTGTGACAAGAGACAAGAAATACAAAAGAGAACAAATTAAACGTATTCGACTCCAAAATTATGTCACACTAGCTATCAACAATTTCATGCAAGAAAATCTGGAATAGGGATAAAAATTCATTATTTCAGCCATGGAATAATTACATCGCGTAATACAATGAGGAACAATTCAAAAGTTAATTAATCGTCTCTATTAATTTGTGATTTCTCTTTTGAGTTTATGCCTATTTATTACCCTTTTCATGCTGCAGACCGCTAAATTAGTGGAAATTTTACCCTTGAAACAATTCAAGGAAATTTTCTGCAAAAAGATTGGTAATAGGATACGCGAACTTCCCAAATACAGAAATAGGTCTGTATGTCTGGCCCTGAAGAACCAAACTGATCATTATGTACCAGTATGATAAATGACAAAAGAAAAATATAGCAATTTACAGACATCTAGATGAAAAGAATAGTTAATTTCCATTCAAGACGGCAGGAAAGTGATCATTCCTTTTTCCTTATAGTCCCACAGACACAGGGTCAGATAATGATCTTTCTTTACAAGAAATGCGCCAATAAACCTAACACCCAAATAAGATGGAGTAGTTATTGCAAAGCATGGCAAGATAACTTTTGCAAATGTCAATAGCAAGTTTGTCGCTTCATGGAATCGAAGAGGGTTTATGTTTTATGTCACATGGTGTCACAATGAATTTATTGTTAATCTCTTCCCAGATAACTTATTGGCTCAAAATGTTTGTGTTTTATTCTCTGTAGTTACCGATACAATAACATCTGACATTTGCATGTTAAACAATAAAAATGTCTGCCGTCACATAGCTACAAAAGATGGCGTTGTTTGAGACGACTGTCATGGTAAACATGAATTCATACTCTAGGGACATAGACTAGAAAGAAAGTTAAAATATTTTTGGGAAGCATGTTGTTCTTTTTTATTGGTCAATAAACAGTTTCTCGAAGGTCCAATGCTGCGGAACCCGACGGAAATTCTTTGATAATTGAGCAGTTTTTTATCACGAACATGATCAATTGGCAGCGACAGTAGTATATGTCACAAGTTTACACAAGATTAAACAACCAAGCCGCGCAGACTCATAAACGGAAAACAGTAAATAATGGCGCACAAATTTGTCGTTACAAAATCATGTTTGCGGAAGGAACTTGGCGATGATAAGATTTAATCCATGAATGGAAAAACAAATTGGCTTTTCTGCGGTTCTTCTTTTAGCGCTGCAGAACATGCAAAAATGCAAACTACGGAAAAGAAGAGGACAAACATTATTTATTTAAAGTTTAATAATTACTCTCAAGATTCTGGCTCCCTCGAAGGAAATGTGTTGTCGGAAGTAATAAGATTTTTGTAAATTGAAACTGAGAATAATAGCGAGATCAATCCAGTGCTATAAGAAGCGATGCGAGTCCAACCTGCAGTTGTTATCATACAGAGATCAGACGTGTCCGACTTACGACTAAACGTCAGCCTTTCCGGCAAGTTTTACTTTTAAAAATGTCTTATTAAAATTATGTATCAGAAAGGATATACTACTTTTCAGTGATCATTAAACTATGAAAATGTTTTACTATGGCAACGACGATTTCAAGGAGATTACGTGTTTTTTTTTTCCTATGATTTTATCATCATATTGATTTCAGGTTATAATGATTTCAAGATAGATCAAAGTTAATGTACGAAAAAAAGACCGGTAACAGAGACGACATGGCAAACCTCAGTGTAAGACACCTGGGTGACGAGAATAAGACATCCTATAATGACAGTGACTTCGATGAGCTGGATTATCTACAGCAGAACCTCGGGGTCCACATTGGACACGCCCACTCTGGCCATACTGACCATTGTCTATGTTGGTATATTTCTATCAGGGACTGTTGGCAATGTATGCACGTGCATCGTGATTGCCAGGAACCGTCACATGCACACCGCTACCAATTACTATCTGTTTAACCTATCTGTCTCGGACTTAGCCACGTTGATTCTAGGTACGTGAACTAAATCACTCCCTGGTTTGATTTTGTTATTTTTGATAAATTGTTAAAGAAGTTAATTGTTGTCTTTAATATATACAAATTACTGGAATCAAATCAGGTCTGGTGTTGACCAAAAGATGTATGCTGACGCTGGATACATCTAGATCTTTGACAAACATTTTAATTCAATGCATTTTCTTTCCAACTCAAAGAAGAACTAAAATGAATCTTTTTTCGGCACATGGGTGAATTATTGTAAGATGATGTCGAGTTCTCATAATTTCCGGAGGTTGATGTGATTATAATTTGCCGTTACATTCGTGTCAGATTTGAAGCACGGTCCGTAACAGATATGACATGCAATTGCAATATATCAGGCCTCCTTGGCGCATTCTTATTAGTTATTCAATTAAGGGATTTTTACTGAAGATTTAATTTAACACTGAACTGATGTTTATAAATTTTGAAGTTCATTATAAAAAAATGTGTACTGTATGGCATTTCATATGGCATGATATTCATGGATTTAGTTGTTTGAATGCAGGCTTAGAAAAATAATGGAACGAAAATGAAATATAGCTATTTTAATATACATGTATATCACCTCGGAACATTTGCCTGTTTTAAACACGGCAAACTTCACCCAAACACGACCAAAGGTAGCTTAAACGTAGGAAGAAACACCAAATGTATGTTCACAAAAGAAAGAGTTCCGTTTCTTAATAGATTAGTTTATCGGTAAATGAGGACAAGTAATGAACACCTCAAGTATTCTAATAGCTCTAGTCATTTTTTGCCGGTTCATGTTCAGAAACTCAAAGTAACCTATATATATAAACACGTGATATGCTTATCTTTAGTGTCATTTCACTATTACTACAACATCAGAGAACATTTGTAAGCTCTAAAAGAATCTTATGGCTCCAGTATCTGCCATAGCTGCCTTGAGTTCTGCAGCCAATTAAAAGGCACTACCGAGTTCACTCTGTTACGGGGGCGCTTTCCATAAGTATTTACCTATAATAGGAGTATAGAGTGCTCTTCCCTATAAAAGGAATATCGATTATTACCGGAGTATAGGTCTTTATCACTAGAATCGCTCTCTCCCATGAGTATAGTTTTTCTCACGAGTATGTACTATTGCCATAGTATTACCTACATTACAAGTATTGATTTGTCTTGTCAGTGTTACTCGATCTGTCCCACGACTATTGCTCTGTCCTACGAGTACAGACTGATCTAGTATCGCTTTATACCACGAGTATTGCTCTGTCCCACCAGTAGTGACCAGTCCAACCAGTAGTGACCTGTCCCACCGGTAGTGTCCTGTCCCACCAGTAGTGACCTGCCCCACCAGTAGTGACCTGTCCCACCAGTAGAGACCTGTCCCACCAGTAGTGACCTGCCCCACCAGTAGTGACCTGTCCCACCGGTAGTGTCCTGTCCCACCAGTAGTGACCTGTCCCACCAGTAGTGACCTGTCCCACCAGTAGTGACCTGTCCCACCAGTAGTGACCTGTCCCACCAGTAGAGACCTGTCCCACCAGTAGTGACCTGTCCCACCAGTAGTGACCTGTCCCACCAGTAGTGACCTGTCCCACCAGTACAGACCTGTCCCACCAGAAGTGAACTGTCACTCCAGTGGTGACCTGTCCCACCAGTAGTGACCTGTCCCACCAGTAGAGACCTGTCCACCAGTAGTGACCTGTCCCACCAGTGTGACCTTCCCACCAGTAGTGACCTGTCCCACCAGTAGTGACCTGTCCCACCAGTAGTGACCTGTCCCCCCAGTAGAGACCTGTCCCACCAGTAGTGACCTGTCCCACCAGTAGTGACCTGTCCCACCAGTAGTGACCTGTCCCACCAGTAGTGACCTGTCCCACCAGTAGTGACCTGTCCCACCAGTAGAGACCTGTCCCACCAGTTGTGACCTGTCCCACCAGTAGTGACCTGTCCCACCAGTAGAGACCTGTCCCACCAGTAGTGACCTGTCCCACCAGGAGAGCCCTGTCCCCCCAGGACTCACCTGTCCCACCAGTAGAGACCTGTCCCACCAGTAGTGACCTGTCCCACCAGTAGTGACCTGTCCCACCAGTAGTGACCTGTCCACCAGTAGTGACCTGTCCAACCAGTAATGACCTGTCCCACAAGAATTGATTTGTCCCACGAGAAACTCTCTATTCATTTAAAAGAATTTTTTTTTTTGTCCCACGATTTTTTTAATCGCTCTATACCACGAGTATTGCTCTGTCCCACAGTAAAACCTGCCCCACCAGTAGTGACCTGCCCCACAAAAATCGATTTGCCCCAAAAAATTTTTTTATTTATTTTAAAGAGTTTTCTTTGCCCCAGATTTTAACCCTTTCGACGCCGAAAAAGTTACGTCTATAACGTCATGAATGCCATACTATGACGTCAATCCGGACGTCAAACAATTGCTTCACAAAAAAGCATCAAATTGGTTATAAAACAGCACCTGTATAACCAAGATAATAGGATGTTCCATGTTGCTTGGAAAATGCATGCTATATATTTATGTTATATTAATTTATACATTTTTTATACCAATAATTTTTTTTAATTGGGGTAAAAAAAAATTTAAAAAATATTTATGTCTGTAGCTAGCATACTCAAGATAAGTCTTTAAAAACTTTTTCATATTTTCAAATAATATATTGAAATTCTGATAATTGTTATAAGTGTATACTACAGTGTACACTGTCACATATTTATAATTTGAAATAAGAATATCAATCAATATACAATTACAATATATGTAGTCACTAGTGTTTAAGTTGTTAAAACTTTTTTTTTAAATAACAAACTGATAACATATCCTCTCTGTAAACTCAATAAGTGTGTAACATTTGATTGACAGATATTGTTAAATAATTTACTTAATATACATGTATATTTGATTTTGCCACCGTCAACAAAGTTAATCAATGTGTTTAGCTAAATTGCTATAATACTCGTACTCTCTAATTTTTACGAACATAAAAAGATGTAGCTCCTAGTCCCATTCGTTTTAGTTAAGACAGCATTATGACAGACGCAAGCCCTGCTATAAATAGGTTCGAATTTATCTGTAATAAGAATATAAATATAGGTAATAAATAAATCCCGCTCTCTCTCTCTGTCAAACACACACACCATAATTAGATTAAATGCAAGGTAGTTTCATAGTGAGTAGAGTAATCGTTTGTGTGTTCCAACTACGCCTCAAAATTGATCCTCGTGTGAAATTTCCTAAAGCATCCCTCTACACAGAGTCCGACCCTGCAGTCCTCACACCACCACTGAATTCTTGTCTTCCTGAATTCGCCTCCATGTCCCGCACAAACGGCACATCTCTTACGCTTACCATCTGGTATTTTGGACGGAAAGTGCCTCTCGGACAATCTTGCCAAGGTTCTGTGTTGGACTGGTATTAAACGCAGCTGTCTGTTCCTACTACCCTGTCGAAACCCTCCAATAAGTTCTTGGCAAAGCTGCTGGTGAAACTTCAGATGATCCATTTTGTGTTGTACAATGAAGGAATCTCGGTAGCAAATATAGGCATTTACTACAAAGATATTATCAGATAAAATCATTCCGACTTCACAAAAATATTTTATAACAATTTACATTCCGAACAGCTTTAATCAAATATGTTTTATATACATGGAAGTGTATGTTAAAGCATATACCTGCTGCGGTTACAAGAGAGTGAAATAGGAGTTTTCTCCACATCTTTAAACTCTTGAACTGTGGCTCAAATTGGAGAATTAGTTGATCTCCGAGATCGACCCCTCCCATCGTAAGATTGTAGGTATCTATTATGGCAGGAATAGAAACTTCGCGACCCTTTCCATTTGTTGTTTGTATTTGCCTATAAATATGTAGCGCTTTTAAACTTGACTCATCCTATAGTTTTGATATTTTTAAAATATTTTAATAAACTAAAAATAAAAGTGTACAACCGGTATATATGTAGAAAAGCAAGTGAATTACATGTACATGCATATGTTTCAATTTATGATGAGGAGCGATTACATGATGATAAATATAACTTGGTGTAAAATACTATCGAAAGGCTGGCAACTAGTCATAGTTTTCGTTTAATTTCACTAACATTTGAATACAGATACCAAATTCTAAGAGGTAAAGGTAATATAACAAGCTATTACAAACCCTATGAAAAAAAAATGTTTTCATCACTATTTAATTTCATTACAAACCAACAGAGCTACAGTCTCAAGAGATTCATTAAATTCAATACCTTGCAGAACCAGTAGTGGTCAACAAAGATACAACTCTCCTGTCCGCCCACTGTACAGCCATCACTCCAGCACGTGTCTTAACATTCACATCTCCTCTCTGCATTGCTGGGTTCTTAAAACTGGAAGGCATATCCTTTCGAGACTTGATAACTGTTCCTGTACTATGGGTGTCCTTGTCCAAGAGATCGTATACCAGTCTGGGGCTGGTGAAAAAACTGTCGAAAGTGACATGATGCTCTTTGTAGAAATGGGGTTCCATCAAGTCCATTACTGCCTGATAACCCTACAACATATACGAGTTCGCGTGATTTTCACTTAGTGTTATACTATGGTATTAATTGATCTTATACTCTTTAGCTTCTAAATATGAAATCTGCTAAAAAAAATCTTTTAGTTATTTTTTAAAATCACAAAGTCTTCTAAGCATTGAATTAATTGACAAATAAAAATTTGCCGCTGTTTGTTAAATTCCTCGAAATAAAATCATAGTTTAGCAAGATATACAAATAATAGAAAAGACGCGGAACAGAATTTTTCGACTTGTTTTTGTTTTTTTTTATGGAAAAGACATTTCAAATCTACATAAGCCCGTGTAAATCAAATAGCGGAAAATCAGTTTCAAGTTCTCGCGGAAAAAGCATACCAGAGTACTCACGTAAATGCATGATGCTTGAGATTTGAAAACAAAAATACAGAAAAGCAGGACCACACCCATAAGTCAAGATCAGAGCACGTGACTTAACAAATAGCTCTACTTGCAGGATACTGCATCATCGCAGTGAGAATATACTTTTTTAATGAAATTTCGTGTCAAATACTTTCTTAACAGTTACAATTATTATTATTCTGTCAAAAGCACTTACTTGTCCGTTTGGATTGCGTCGCTCATTTCTCCTGCCTTTGTATACGTTAATGTGATGAGTGTACCCAGAAGTGGAGTCGGACAGCACCCAAAGTTTGATCCCCATCTGTGTGCCTTCTTATTTGAGATGTATTGTTTGAGTTGATGCCTTCCTTTAAAACCTACTATTCTTTCATCTACACAAACATCCCGGTTAAGCCTTTATTTGAAAAACAAAATAAAATCCTGACAGATAAATAAGTTTATGATTAAAAAATATGTGTTAACAGGAAGCTCTCATTTGCAGATTTTTACTGAATTCTTAAAAAGAAATTTTAAAAAAATTGACACATAAAAGGGGGGGGGGGTATTAAAGACAATAACCTGACTGCGTTTAACATCAACATTCTGTCGTTCAAAACTTTATATACGAGTACTTAGTATATTTATTCACCGACCCCAGGAGGATATTCAGTTATTTCACATTTAAATAATATATAAATATCATACCATGACAAAATATGAAGCATTTCTACCATAGAGGTACAAATCAAAGATGTACAATACAACAAGTAAGATATTCGTGAAAAATACAGGTTTTGTAATATGTACGAAATGTTCGAACGTCAAATATCTTTGGATCCACATATAGAAAATTACAACAATAATGGCAGCACAAAAAGGGCTGAATACTGAGATATATATAAAATTTTGTTCACATTATAATTTTTAACTTCGATTTGCTCATTTTCCTCGTGAGGAAAAAATTAAGATACATATATCTATGTGTATATGTATTATATTGAAAACATACTTGTAATTTCGGCTGAAGGTTTCGTTGAAAAACTCAATGATTGGAGAAATTTTGTGAAGTGGATCATACCCAATTTCCCCAGGTTCTGCTGCCGTTGTGTTATCATTGCAATGGAGAAACTGCAGTATGGCTTGAAATCGATTTCTAGCCATGATTTGGGAAAAATTTGGAGTTTCCATTGACCAAGCACGTGTATTACTCTCCCAGTAAGATTCATATGTTGGTTTCTTCACTACCCCCATGCTCAACACAATGCCCATAAAAGCCAACATCTCCTCTCGGGTTACGGGATACCAATCACGGAACCGTGAATGTGGACCTAAAATCATGGGGGGCCTGCTTCTTCTTGATATCTCCTGATCTGCATAACGGTTTGTCTCCCTTACAAGAATATCAACAATGTCGTGTTGATCATGCTGGAGAAACTTCATGAAAAACTCCAAACTTGACATACCTGGATCAAAATTGACGGGCCCTGTTTCTTCTTGGAAATCAGGGTCCGGCATGATAAACGAGCTAGGATCCACTACATTAAACCACGGACCTCGAAATGTAGTAAATTCTTCATTATCATCATCATCGGAATCGAACACGTCCGAATCTATGTCAGAAGTAATGTCCGCATGGTGCGCCATACTTTGTTTTTTTCAACGCTAGCGTACTCACTCATAACCTGACGTCACAATTCAACGTCAACGTAACAAAATGACGTCATATAAAGACCAGTACATATACAAAAATAAAGGCCTATACTTGTGTCAAAATTTAGATATGACTTTGTTTAATTACACAAAAGATAAATGGCAAATAAAAGATAAAGTAAATATTTTTTTTGGAAAACGACATTTTTGTCGGTTTGGCGTTGACACAGTAAACGACATTTTTGTCGCTTTGGCGTCGAAAGGGTTAACCGCTCTGTACCACGAGTATTGCTTATACAACAAGTAGCATCTGCCCTGTGACTATTGCTCTGTCCCACGAGTATTTAACCGCTCTATACCACGAGTATTGCTTAAACAACAAGTAGTACTGTAGACGTACTTTTTTCCACGAGGTCATAATTCCGCGGAGTCTCAATTCCAGTTTAATCCGCGGGTAGAAAATTACGCGGATTTCTTAGATTGTCACTATTTGCCTTACATTTATATTA